TCTACCTTTTATTTAGCCTTTTTTATAAAATAAGAAATTGTCGGCCAATGTACGTAACATAATGTATGAAACATAAAATTAAATAATTAAGCATAGCGACAAATCGCACGACCACGGGGTTGATTTTGTTGCTAAAATATCCATAATGTGTGAAAATAATTTGTCTGTCCCGTTAATCTGATAGATATTACATTGAGTTTATGGACTTTTGTACGGATTCAAGGGCTTGCTTTACATTCAACCTCGTTTTCTAACAATGTCAAGTAAAACAACAACAAAAACAGACAACATTTTTTATGTGAACGCCTATATGACTTGTGGTAAGGTCTCCCTGACAAATTTCTAAACCATTTTAGGTTGTCTAAGGATGATTATTTCTCTATGAATCAATAAAAAAAGATAATAAAATAAATTATCAGTGAATGCTTTGAATAAATTGTTCGCTAGTAAATCGAACACAGTACTAATAAATCTATGAGAAAGTTTGGAATTTATTGTATATCCCAGTAGAAACTGGATCTCTATGCCGTGCATAGATGATTTTCATGATAATAGAAGTCAAGAAGGTCAGATCATAATGATCGAGTGATACCTTTTATTTCTATTAAAATATGTGAAGCATTTATATCAATTTGGAGGAAAAAATATATAAAATCCCGTTCTTATTTGTACATCTACCATGGACTTTAAAATACTGTCAGAAGCTCAGTTTTTTTGTTATTTTAATTTATATTTTAACGGAATTTCATACACGAGTACACAGATAGAGTGACACTGGTATAATATAATAATAATGCTGATGATAATAATAATAAACTTAAATGTGAAAACAATTAAATACCCCGCTAGCGGTGCACAAATACGTCCCCATTTCCCCCCACCGAGTGCCTCAAATTTTACCGAAAGTCACGTGACATGTGCAACCGATACCAGACTAACGGTAAATCACGTTAAGATGTGAAGAAATTTCTGTTATAAACTGATATTAATCAGCAACTTTTTAATTGGTCAGATGTCACTGGGTCATAAAATGTTGTTAGTGTATGTTACCGCAACTTGTGACCCTCCTCTGGTGCGATATTTGTGTATTATGTAATTATTTAGCGTGAAACGTAGGGGTCCGAGAGAGAACAGCCAATTTATGACACTTCGTTTGATGCGGATCGGACTAACTTTGAATCGGCATAACTTTTTTAATAATCAAGCAATTAACATGCGGTTTAAAGCACATGAAAGGGAATTCATTACGGAGGGAACCGTGTCAGGGATTTTTTGTTTGCTCAATCAGCGACTTAATTATCTTTAAATAGTATTATGTATGGTGAAAAAAGTCGCATAAAATGTTTGACGTTACGTAATATTTTTTTTGAGAAAAGATAGACAAAATTTGAGACACGGTTCCCCAGATATTATAAGTATGTTTATTTTCCAAAAGTTTGATGACACAAAAATAAAAATGACTTTGATATGACGATTTAAAATTTTAGGATTTTTATTAAAAATCAATCATTTACAAAGACATTTTTTTCAAATATGTTATTTTTTATGATGATCAACGACATTTAATGCACAAAGATTAAATAAATAACAATTATTACTAGAATAAGTTGGTTTAAATGACATTTATGTGATTACCACGGAAAGTGTCTGTTGTCACCTTAAGGGCAATAACTCTAAAAATACAACATAAATCCAGACGAAAATACCCAGGTGCACAACTACACATGCTGATCAATATTCCTGTAAAGTTTGACTCTATGTCAAATCCTTTTTGAGTTACATGCGACACAAGTTGAAAATAGCAAAATTTTACTAAGTCAAGGGCAATAACTCTAAAAATACTAAATAAATCCAGACAAAAATACCCAGGTGCACAACTACACATGCTGATCAACATTCCTGTAAAGTTTCATGACTCTAGGTCAAATCCTTTTTGAGTTACATGCGACACAAGTTGAAAATTGCCAAATTTTACTAAGTCAATGGCAATAACTCTAAAAATACTACATAAATCCAGACGAAAATACCCAGGTGCAAAACTACACATGCTGATCAATATTCCTGTAAAGTTTCATGACTCTAGGTCAAATCCTTTTTGAGTTACATGCAACACAAGTTGAAAATAGCAAAATTTTACGAAGTCAAGGGCAATAACTCTAAAAATACTAAATAAATCCAGACAAAAATACCCAGGTGCACCACTACACATGCTGATCAACATTCCTGTAACGTTTCATGACTCTAGGTCAAATACCTTTTGAGTTACATGCGACACAAGTTGAAAATTGCAAAATTTTACTAAGTCAAGGGCAATAACTCTAAAAATACTAAAACTATTCAGACGAAAATACCCAGGTGCAAAACTATACATGCTGATCAACATTCCTGTAAAGTTTCATGGGTCTAGGTCAAATACTTTTTGAGTTATACATGCGACACAAGTTGAAAATTGCAAAATTTTACTAACTCTAAAAATACGAAAAAGATATCCAGACGAAAATACCCAGGTGCACAACTACACATGCTGATCAACATTCCTGTAAAGTTTCATGACTCTCTGTCAAATACTTTTTGAGTTACATGCGGCACAAAAGAGAACGGACGGACGGCAGGACGGATGTTCTTACCAGAGCTACATTATGGGGTTTTCTTTTGTTATTTCTTTTGGTCTTTTTAACCCAACAATGCAGAAAATAACCCACAAGAGAAACGGAATGAATGACATCAAATACATCTATTGTTCTGAGAACCCAATAATGAAGCTCTGGTTTGTACGGACGGACGGACAAGGGTAAATCTAAATGCCCGCCACTAAAGTGGGGGCACAAAAATTGAAAACTTGAAACTTGGTTAAGTGACGTCATCCTAAGAACGTTATTCATTTATAAAAGACGCGCAGCAATGACGTCATTTAAAGCACGCGACTTGTCTAACATGGGGGTGTAAGACAGGGTTTTCTAGCACCGATGTAAACGGTAGATAAGATAATCCTGTCTCATATGCAAGAAATATTCCTGTTAGTGACCGCGAATCTTTAAACATACTTTTCTTTGTTGGAGTATATAGTCAAAAACAAGAGGGCCATGATGGCCCTGAAGTCGCTCACCTGTACATAGGCCCCCGGAGCGGGGCCAGTTTAAAGACCGGGGCTTTTATTTGAACAAACTTGGTAGACAACCATAAGAAGATGTTTCAAGTTTTTTCTTTACACATATAGTTAAAAACAATGACACCTGGGGCAGGGCCAGTTTTGACCCCAGGGCTTTTATTTGAACAATCTTTGTAGACACTTACTAGAAAATGTTTCATGCTTAATATCTAAACTCTAGCTATTCGGGTTTTTTCAAAGAAGATTTTTAAGTTTTTGCTATACTCGTATAAGGAAAATCAATGTCCCCTGGGGCGGGGCCAATTTTGACTCCAGGGCTTTTATTTGAACAAACTTTGAAGACACTCACTAGAAGATGCTTCGTGCTTAATATCTAAACTCTAGCTATTTAAGTTTTTTCAAAGAAGATTTTTCCATTTTTGCTATAGTTTTACACATATAGGGAAAATGAATGACCCCCGGGGTGGGGCCAATTTTGACCCCAGGGCTTTTATTTAAACAATCTTTGTAGACAATCACTAGAAGATGTTTCATGCTTAATATCTAAACTCTAGCTATTTGGTTTTTTCCAAAGAAGATTTTTTAAGTTTTTCCTATACACATATAAGGAAATTTGGAAAATCAATGACCCCCAGGGCCGGACCAATTTTGACCCCAGGGCTCTTATTTGAACAAACTTGGTAGACATCCATTAGAAGATATTTAATGCTAAATATCTTAGCTCTAGCTCTTTTGGTTCTTTATATGAAGATTTTTAAGTTTTTACTATATGCATATGGGGAAAATCAATGACCCCCTGGGGCGGGGCAAATTTTGACCCCAGGGCTTTTATTTGAACAAACTTGGTAAACACCCATTAGAAATGTTTCATGCTAAATATCTTAGCTCTAGCTCTTTGGGTTTTTTAAAAGAAGATTTTTTAAGTTTTTACTATATGTATATATGGAAAATCAATGACCCCCTGGGGTGGGGCCAACTTTAACCCCAGGGCTTTTATTTGAACAAACTTGGTAGACATCCATTAGAAGATGTTTCATGCTAAATATCTTAGCTCTAGCTCTTTTGGTTCTTTAAAAGAAGATTTTTTTAAGTTTTTACTATATGCATATAGGGAAAATCAATGACCCCCTGGGGCGGGGCCAATTTTGATCCCAGGACTTTTATTTGAACAAACTTGGTAGACACCCATTAGAAGATGTTTCATGCTAAATATCTTAGCTCTAGCTCTTTGGGTTCTTTAAAAGAAGATTTTTTAAGTTTTTACTATATGCATATAGGGAAAATCAATGACCCCCTGGGGCGGGGCCAATTTTGACCCGAGGGCTTTTATTTGAACAAACTTGGTAGACACTCACCACAAGATGTTTCATGCCAAAAATCTAAGCTCTAGCTCTTTGGGTTTTTTTGAAGAAGATATTTTAAGTTTTTCTTTTGGTTGCCATGGCAACCAGAGTTCTGCATGGAATTAAATTCTTTGAACAATTTTCAAAGGTGACCACCAAAGGAACATTCCTGTGAAGTTTGGATGAAATTGGCTTAGTGGTTTATGAGGAGATGTCATTTAAAGTAAAAGTTTACGGACGACGGACGGACGACGGACGCCGGACGAAAAGCGATCACAAAAGCTCACCCTTTCACTTTGTGACAGGTGAGCTAAAAATTGATGTTTAAGTATACCATTGCGCAACTACTTTACAAAATATTTATTTCCTTTATAAACTATCAGATTAAAGAGGTTCTTGTAAGAAGTAATCAATTCAGAATGTATTTAACAAAATGTATTTAACAATTTCGTTATTAAGTGTTGTATATATTTTACAAGAGATCACATACTTCATTCATCGCAAATTGTTATATTGTTATATTGTAATGTACTATATTGTATATCTACCTTAACATAATGTTAGAGTCCTCCTCTAGCACAAACCATCCACCTTCATTTACAGGACAACCGACGGAAACTGCAGTATACAATATAAAATCATGACTTAGGCCGTGTCTACACCTATTCAAGTTTCTTACATGTCACATTTAGATAAGCTAAATAAATGGCCCTTTCAACATTTTTTCAGGCACAATTTTTACTGAAATGTCTCATTAAGATAGCCCAGGATTTATACCTTTGTCTTTGCAATACTATCATGTTTCTGTAAAATATGTGAAAAAAGCGGGAAAATGATGCAATTAGCTAAACAATGGAGTAAATGCAATGCGTACATTCTTTTAAAAATTCAAAAAATGTGACAAAAATTTATTTTGATGCAAATTCTTTATTTGATGAAAGTTATTTACTAAATGAACAAGATCATTTTAAATCCAATATGACTTTACTTTAAAAAGAGCTTTTTTTTTATTTTTTTTACAATGTATTTATTTTTTTTTATTTATTTTTTTTGCTCTTATGTGTATCAGCGTATTGATTTGTTTCTTTTACCAAGACATTGTAAACATTTACTGAAATTCAAAGGGCATGTACACTGAATCAACAACAAAAAGTCAGAAAAATAATAGAAATAACAGCACTATCAAAACTTTGGGCACATGTTTTGTGTCAAACTGGTGTTATCAGTGTCTTGACAGCCAAAAACTTGTAGAAAAATAGAACCTGTTCTAATTTTCTTGCAAGAAATTATCTTCATGAATGTCACATAATTTCTCTTTAAAAACCATTCAAGTAGGGTGTGTACACTATCCAATACAAGAGAATACAAGAAAAGCATTGATGCAAAGCATCAAAGGGCGTCCAAGCAAGAAATGCAGCAAGTGAAGATGAACTAGTAGACATATGATGACAAGATATTCTTATAATCTTTTCAATGGTTTTTACCAGAATTGTATATCACTTATGAATGAGCGGACGAAAGACATTGTTCATTATGAACTTTGATTGGCATGCTAGAGATTAGAAAATTACTTGTTATTTCTTTATGACCCGTGGTTATTAATAGCAACGGATTTTTGTGTGTTTGCGTTTGTTTACCCTCGCCACTGGAAAGAGACCATATGGCGAGCAACGGATATACATGTAAACAATCATTTACAATCCATATGTGTAACGCATGATCAACACCACACTTGTGTAATTGTCCCTTATTATGTTATCGCTATTAGCGAAGACCCCCTCTTAAAAGTATCTATTCACACTTAGTAAAAATATGACACTGGTTATATTACCATGTTGATCATGTTAAGCATAATTGTTTATTATACAATAAATGTAATATATATTAATTTTAATAAAAAATACAGATTTTATGAATATTGTTTCTCTTTTTTTTTTGTGTTTATGCGCTTTTTTATGTTTACTTACTTTTTTTAATTTAAATTGTAAAATAAATTTTAAGAATTCAATTGTCATATTGACCGACGATTATAAGTCAAAAATTAACTGGAAAAAGTCAGTAAATAATGGTTAATCTTTCAAATATATAATATTGTTTATTCTATATATTCTTAAAACCCATGTACATTTGTTTTTTTTTTCTTTATCATTTTTTAATTATCAACCAATTGAATAATTCATAAAATCTAATTTTGTAACTTTGAATAATTCCTCGGCATCTTTACTAAACCACGAAATAACAAATTAAATAAAATGTTTCAAAGTTGATAGTGTCGTATTATTACCATAAAAATGTACCCTTTTCTCAATTATTGTACATATTTATTGTTTTTATCTCATATAGATATAAAATGAAACATGTATTGTTGTTGTTCTTGTTGTTTTTTGTTTTTTTTCGAATTGTATGTTTATGTATAATAAAAATCAATAAATTTGAGAGTTGATCTGTGTTCATGAATTATTGTAACCAAATTAACTGACAAACATTCATTTTGGAAAAAAGCTTATTTATTTGTAAAATATTTGTTTTGTTCTGTAACTATATCAAACATCTACTCCAAAACCGGGAGAGACCGGACAATAAACGGTCACTAGTAAATCCCGGTCAAAATAGACCGGGAGAGACCGGGAATTACCGATAGGAGCACATCCCTCTATAAATAGATTTTCGGAATATTTAGGTCATCAACTCATCATTCTATTTACAGCTTTCGGATAAATGTACAACAATAACATTCCATAATAACCCACTGTGTAAATAAAAAAAAACCGAAGAGCGCGATTTATTGACGGAAAAGGTTATTTCATTTGAAAATTTTTGCAAGTTCGCTATTCATTGTACCACGGATTAATTAATAATCAAGCACCTTCATACCGTTCGGAATGATCGGCTTTTATTATGACCGACTTAAAGGCTCGAGAAGTTGCTGTCGCCCTTTCACAAAATCTGATTTCATTCCATAAAGGGGCGCCGCGCTTCAGCGCGGACGCCAATGATACTTGCATAATAAGTTGCATTCAAGACTTGGATAGGTGTAGACAGGGCCTAATGTATTATATAGTTATTATCGCATGGTTTGGAACTTTTCCTTTGTTCTTACTAACCCATTATACTCAGTACACTTCAACGAGCATTTGAAAACTGTATTGATATAATTATAACAGTACACTTTTTTCATTGCTTCATATAGGATAAAAACTCGAAGTTGAGTTCTTTTCGCACCTTGTATATATCAATGTAGTTTTTTCACAGAGGCTCCAATGGGGCAGTGGTAACGAACAATCCCAGTAGCAAAAAGAATGGAATCAATAAAATAAAATAAAATAAATAAATGAATACAATGAAAAAATATAAACAAAGATAATTAATGAAATCAAAAAGGTACATCCGCTGAATGAATTAAATTTCCACTGAAAAGGGCCCTTTAATCTTGAATCAATATTGGTAACAGTTTACAATCCGCCTCTAACATTGGATGTCTCTTGTATATCTTTTTTTGCGGCAGCAAAAACTGCCTTATCATGAATAACTGTAATGTAGCTAACGATTTATTTATTTATTTATTTCTATTACAAAAAAAAAGAAAAAATTATGCCATTGCGATAAAACAGTTATAGTATATGAAACTCGTAAATTCTTCATAAATTTATCGAAAAAAAAATAAGTAGGCCATTTTTACTGTTGTTATATCATAGTATTACTAGTATCATTTTTAAGATTTTACAATAGTTGTCACAGTGAACTCTGGAAACGTTGAAGAACATGTTTAATAAGTTTCTTTGACTTGTTTCAATCATTCAATATCAACAATATCTGTTATTATATCTTCCAGGGTTTGTTTTAAAACTGCTCGGTGATTCTGTCGGCGTCGTCTAAATTATGGATATACATTTATTTGCCTGTGTATCTCTTTAACAAGTGGTGTTAAAAATGGACGAGGATTTTGAAGCAATTCAACAAAATAGTAGATTGATTTCCCAATAAATCAATTAACAATAGCTCTTTATTTCTAATCAATGTCAAGAAGCTTTTATATCTTTGACTCGCTTGAACCTAATGAGAATTTCCTCATATCTGTCTAAAATCAGATAACAGTCTTCCATTGATAAATAATGTTTCACTATATCAACATGCTATGCAAATTTATTCATGATTTTAATGTACCATTATTTTTTTGTTAACGCGTATAACAAAAAAAAAACCTGAATTTGGTCTTTTTTTTATATTCATCCCAATTTTTTCATTCCAGTGTGTGTTCTACTTCCGTAGTTATCTGGGGCTTAGAATATAGCTTCTGTATTAAAAGAAACCATTTTTCTTAATTTGACATGAAAAAATGCATGTAATATTACTACATATATTTATCCATTTCATTGCAATTTTTATATTCTGTGTGTTTATTTGTTACAATTTTTCATTTTGACTGCTGTTTTTTTATGTTCCAAAGAAAATACATTTTATATTTTTATCTCTAGCAAGACTACCAAAGTTCCTAATCGTCCGCCCATTCATCTATGATATCCATGTACAATATTCTGGTAAAATCCAATTTTACATTGAAAACTTTTTAAGAATATCTGGTCATCAGATGTCTACTGAATCATCGTCACTTGCTGCATTTCTTGCTTGGATGCCCTTTGATAATGTACACTAGAACTTAATCTATATAGACAACAAGTACAAATGTTGCTGCAATGCAGCAATTGAGAAGCTCCGCGCAAAGAAAAATGTGCTCATTACAGATACCTTACCGCACAGGTCATGTTATATTCAGATTAAGTACTATTGTAGATTTTTTCCGAATGTTTTGTAAACCAGTTTTTGCATAATTATACTCATCTTATGCACTGTACATAATTAAAAAGAGGGGGAAGATATTTAATATAAAAAAATGCTTTCACTGATGCCTACCTGGTAAGGAAAGTAATTCCATTGAATACAAACAAGACTTACAAGACTTGTAAATGTTATGTGACTTGACTGTAGTATGTTCTGTTTGTGTCACTACTGTAGTCAGTAACATAAGATGATAAAAATATCAAAGTCTGTTTTTTTTTATTATTATAATTGTAACAAATATACAAATAGTAACAAAAGGGACTAATATTATAATATACTAATATTGCATGCATTTTTTTCATGTCAAATTAAAAACAAGAACGTGTTTGTTAAACACAAATGCCCCCGGCTCAGATTCTTGTCAGTAGCAATATTTCAAAAAATGTTTACCCATTCACTCAGTAATGAACAGAAAAATTGTCAAAAAATTGTAAACACAAGTTATATAGCTTGACAAAGTCATGTCATTTTGTAATTGTGAAAAATATAAGTTGCCAAGTCATTGCTCTGACTTGTGAAGTTGAAAAATATTCAACTTCATGCAAGTTATCTTCCTACCAAATATGAAATACATCTGTCATTAAATAAAGGCTGTATGGGCAAAAGTGTAAAAATCTATTTTGAGCACTGGTGACCTTAACCAAACTGACCCCTAACTCTATCCAAAAGAAGAATACCATGTAAGTTATCTTCCTACCAAATATAAAATTCATCTGTCAATAAATGAAGGCTGTATGGGCAAAAGTGTAAAAATCTATTTTTAGCACTGGTGACCTTGACCCAACTGACCCCTTACTCCATCAAAAGGAAGAATACCATGCAAGTTATCTTCCTACCAAATATAAAATATATCTGTCAATAAATAAACGCTGTATGGGCAAAAGTGTAAAAATCTATTTTTAGCACAAGTGACCTTGACCCACTGCTCCCTACCCCAATCAAAAGGATGAATACCATGCAAGTTATCTTCCTACCAAATATAAAATATATCTGTCACTTAATAAAGGCTGTATGAGCAAATGTGTAAAAATCTATTTTTAGCACTGGTGACCTTGACCCAACTGACCACTTACTCCATCAAAGTTTATACTTCTATCAATTATAAATAACATATGTCTATAGAATAAGGTCAATACACCTGTAAAAATCTATTTTTAACATTGGTGACCTTGACATTGTTAACATTGACCTTGACCCAAATGACCCCTTACTACACCCAAAGAAGGAGGATTGTATTAAACTAAGACATCACATAAAATATAAAGGCTGTATGAGCAAAAATGTTTATATTTATTTTTTAAACCAGTGACCTTGACCTTGACCCTAGAGACCGCTTACTCCACAAAAGATTAGAGGACCATCAAAGGTACCACCTACTAAATATGAAAGATATCATTAAAGAAATTAAGCAATTAGGAGAAATTTAAGATAAATCCAACTTGCCGAAATAGGTTAACCAGACAAGGCCCTATTTTCAAAGTGAAAAAAGGGAAATAACTGGGAAATATGGATGACACAGTTATATAACTTGGCAATATCATGTACTTTGTATTGGTAAGTAAGTGTGGAACTTATAAAGCCATTAGTATAGATAGAACTTAAGATATTTCCAATTTGCCGTTTTAGGTTAACCATTATTCATTTTCTAAGTGCTGAAAAGGGCAATAACTTAATAAATATGAAAGCCAGAGTTATGTAACTTGCCCAGATCATGTACTTTGTATTGATTAGTAAGTGTGTAAACTTAGAAGCCATTGGTACAGGTAGAACTTAAGAAAAATCCAACTTGCCGTTCTAGGTTAACCTCGTACGGACAGACGGACAGACGGACGGACGGACGGTTCAATCACTATATGCCCGGGGCATAAAAATGGTTTCTTTCAATACACACTCTGGAATGAAAAAAAAATGGGATGAATTTCAAAAAGACCAAATTCAGGATTTTTTTTTTGTTTGTTATACACGCGTTACATGGTGATACCGTATTTATTAATATAATAGAAGACTGTTACCTGAATTTTAGGCAGGTATGAGGAAATTCACTAACATCATGTTCGTGCGAGTCAAAGATATAGAAGCTATTTGACATTGGTGATATAAAAAAATCTTTTGTTAATTGATTTATTTGGAGATCAATATACTTTATTGTTGGATTGCTTTAAAACCATTCATAAAAAACATTACACTTCATGTTCAAAATGCAGATCAAATCAATGATGCTATTTATCTATAGCCTATGCTTAATGAGGGTCCATCCGCTCGTAAGGACACAAAATACAGGTTTCGCTGTCGAGTACGGACCCCGGACATGTCACCAGTCATACCCTTCGCAGGATGAGCTATTTTTTACGGACGCGGACAGTCACGGACAGGTCGCGTCTCGACAAAATGCCTCGTACGAAATTAAATACTTTACCGATTTCGAAAGAAAATACTAAAAAGCTCACCAAAATAGTGTTGAAGAACCCATAAGTTTATGATGCACCAATGACAGATTAAAACAACAACATCTGGTCTTCGGTTGCTAAAGAGATGTTATTCAAAAACCTAACTGGTATTCAATCTTTTTCCTTTTACCTTATTCTTTGATGTTACAACTGGTTTTGATATTTGTATGAAAATATATCATATTCTACAAATAATTATCCTCTGTTCGCTATACTATAATTAAAAGAATGTAGATATTAACGTACATATGGATTAATACTCACGAACATGCACCCGACACGGATCACGGGCGCGGGTCTCGGACCATTAGAATAGCGGCCTAATAAATTATTTTTGAAGCACCAAGTGGTGTGTTGTATCACTGACTCCAATGAAATGTAACTTTATATACTGAAGTTTAATTATTTCAAAACAACCAATATATCAACATGTTATTATTAAACATTTAATTTCATAAATATAAATTAAGAATAATTATCAAAAGCAAAATTATTAAAGTTTTATACATGAAATCTTCTTTCTATTGACAAATTCAATCATTAATAGTATACTTGATATGCTGTGTGTAAATTACTTCAAAATGTAACAAATTATAATTTCATGTACTACTAAAAAAGGGAAATAACAAATGTATAACCTAAGTGTCAAAAATCAGAACATTTATAGCTATTTTCATGTACAGCAGAACTACCTGTTCTGATTCATTGGAATGACATGTTGCGAATCACAGAAGGGGAAACCAATATAGAAATCGAAAGGAGTTCTTGAATGCGGATTTATTTTTAGCTGTAAATCGAAGGGATTAAATGATCAAATCCGGGCCCATGGACAAAATAAATAGTAAACACAAATAGCTCCGCGCCTGTGGGCGCGGAGCAATGACCTGTGCGCAGTGCAATCGCAACTACTCGGCCCTTTCCGTCAGTCTTCGGATAAGGACCTCGAACACAATAGTATGAAAACACAGAACGGATGCGGTATTTCGGTCTAACCTACGCTAAGAAACTAAACATGTAAACAAATAGTAATGTAATGCTGGGAGTTGTTGACAAGTTTATTTCCAATATATGTAGTAAAAGTCCACCTAAAATAAATGAATTCATAGGTACAAAAGCAAACAATACATTATTTATATATTTATTATTATGGTTGTAGAAACCGAAAGTACAAAAAACCAACCTGTTGACATTTAGTCGGATTTGTTTAAAATTGAACATCAGTGTTACAAATTGTTGTCAGACATATTTTCAAGCATTAGAGTACCGAAACAGACATTACTTTTTTTGGGATGTCAAATATATACATTCATTTTACATTACCTCTGTTTCTGTTTACATCTGAAACCACGTGGTAGAACTACTTTCAGTCCGTATTGTTTCCGAGGTTATTATAGATAATAGTCGAGGCAGTTCCGAATGGTGCGCAGTGATGAGTTGTTAAGGTATTTGTAATGAGCGCATTTTTGCGCGGAGTTTCTCAATTGCTGCATTGCAGCAACATTTGTACTTGTTTAATACTATAGTATCCTCTATATCTATGACACAAAGTTATTCGTGCATTCACTATAGGATATACTCGATAATTTCGATATTTTGTGTATTTGATATTTAAGTCTAACAGGCATTTATGAATTACTTTGCTTATAGTAATAATTGTACTTAACATCAAATTAATTGGAAAATTTATACTATAGATGGTAATATTTGAGCATATAATATTTTAGTAATTGCTCAAAATTTGTAAAGAAGTTTCCTTTTGCCAATGAAACTATATATCTCTTGAATATATGCTGATGTGTTCCCTTTTTTAAACGACCATTGTGTCCGTATTTTCCCTATCGCTAAGTAATATAATCAAAATCTGTCCGAATCTACCGGGAAATACCCTACATGTAAGTAAAATATAGCTTATTTGAATTTGCCGTAGTTTTCGGCCTTTCGGCCTTCTTCAGCGGCATAACAAATAAATTCAGAAAAAATAGGGGAAGTGTGTAACGTCATTGAGCGACGCCCGCCATGGCGACGTGTGTCGTCTACCGGCAGTAGTGTTTACTCCGTGAGGGCGATATGTTCAAACATGTTTATGTACTTTTTATTTGTTTGGGTCGTCAGACCAAACAAATAATGGTAGCAAAATTTCAGACTCTGGTGTACTTATTTGCAAATACCGAAAGTAGTCCAAACTACTCGAAGCGGTTATTTCCCTTTATATGTACACTAACGCCGACCGAAAAATTAAGGGGAGATCACTGCGTAAAGATTGTCAAATGACAGGCGCATTAATTTTCGTAAAGAAAAAATAGTTCTCGATTGGTCGAAGATTTCTAATATTGTGTTATTCTTATAGATATACATGCTTATATTAAGCTCTATGATTATTTACATCAGTGTTAAACAACAGGTTTACCGTGAACAAAATATATCGAAATTAATAAGGGTTATAGACTCTAATTTAGAATAATATGGTACAGCTTCCTCCTGGTCGCGCGGTTTACACGCTCGCTTAGGAAGCGAGATGTCTGGAGTTCAAATCCCAGTTAAGGCTACTCATCTCATGTTTTTTTTTAATTGTTTAAGCCAAATAAACATTGAATTGAATATCAGTGTTGCAATTAGTCTTATAGTCAATTTACTTAAGTTATAACACTGGAAACAGCATTGGTGACACTATACAAACAAATTGGTTTAAAATCTCACAACCTTCACCTTCCTGTCTTTCTGAGACCCAAACAAATTCAGCGCCTTCTGTGCTTTAATTTAATTACTCTCTTTGTGCATAGGCCAAATGTTCAACTATCACGTGAGTGTGTTAGCTGCGAAGGGTGTTGCATAGTTTATCTAGCTTTTTTTCTGAAAATATTCACATTCAAATCAAATCAGAATTGAGGGTACGATTTACCTTTAAATATCAAAAATTGTCTCCAAAAATAAGTAAAACATTTTACCAATATTTAATGTATAGAAGGCAAAATTTGCAGTTTGAATTGTATACACATTCGACGAAGACGCGCCATTCAGATAACAGATGTCCTCTAATGACGTGTAGTAGAAGTCTGCGCATGCGTCGTCTTGGCTGCACTGCTTCGCACAATCCAACTTTCTTGATACATATTTTATTTGGTTGTAGCCAGACAGGTGTATGGTTGGGTCTGTCATGTCAGTTTTAGCAAAGTGCTTGTTCATGATTTCCCCCGAATTACCACTTAAAATACCTTGAAAAATGACAAAATAAGACACATTCAGTCGGTTATTATGACATATTTGATAGAAACATATGGTTGTGACACGTTTATTTGCTGAAAATAATGATAAAATCTACACACTTTTCTACAGCGATGAAATGATAAAAGTTTACATGAATAGACTGTAATGCATTATTGAAATTTAGGGACTCGGCACGTGTGTTTTTTTTTTTTCCAAGTTAATACCCCGGTACACTGTTATAGCATCATGGTGCACTGCCGGTCACAATAGACTTAGATTAGTCAGTATGGTCCGCTCATTTTCGAAGAGAGGAAGAAGTTTGTTTTTATCCCCCGGTATAGTTGGGAAAACCCAAAATATTCATAATTCCGGATTATTGTCCAGGGATGATAATTTGGTGGAAAGTCCATTTAAGGGTAAGTCATCGTATGACGGTTATCATGTTGATGTTGTTATTATTTGCCTTTACTTTTATCTACTTTGTCTGATTTTTGTATGATCATTTGAATATATTTTGTTCTTCTAAATTTCTATTTCTTGTTTCTTTTTTATTTCTTTTCTGTTCCCCTCGTTATAAAAGTGACATTATGCTCATATTTTCATAGTCAAGTTCAGCTGAACTGACTATATATTTCAAAAGATTGACTGTTAAAATGGTGATTGACCAACAGTTCATATTGAAAAATATTTGTAGGCTGCCTGAAATATAAAAATACTGCCCCACTCTTTCTATGAAATGAACGTTACAAGTAAATTCTAATGGATAATTGCAAAATTCCGTTTGAATCTGTGAATGTGAAATAAATTTCTATATTAAAGGGAATTATGGCAAAATGGAAACTTATTTTGACATTCACTTGTGCACTCATTTATACCCTTTGATGGGCATAACAACTCATGGCAAATGATTAATTCAAAAAATATTTAACATTTTAAAAATTAAACTATTTTTAAGACACAACGATTACGGAATATTAATGATTTGAAACGCGTCACGACAAAACCAACATAGTGGGTTTGCAGCATGGATCCAGACCAGCCAGCGCATCCGCGCAGTCTGATCAGGATCCACGTTGTTCGCTATCAGTTTCTCTACTTGTAAAAGGGTTGGTAAGCGAACAGCATGGATCCTGATTAGACTGCGTGAACTAAACTATTTGAAATCGACGTGCTTCAAGTGTAGGATAGTGTACTGTTTTGATTTTTGCATGTAAACTTTATTGTTCAATATATCTCAATGATTTATTTGGCTTTTTGTCAGTCAAGGGTAAAGATATCTCGTGGTGTAATTTATTTGTTAGTTTTTCTTTTAATGTTTAAGAAATAATACAATTCCGCGAATTTATCAATCAACCCTCGTACAACCGATCAAATTAGAAAAAAGAGAACTAGAACACTCAAATGTAACAGGACCTAACCTTATATGCATGGTTACAACACTGACACGGACGCTTTACATACTGCGCTACCAAAGCACATGAAAATATCACGTTTATGTTGTTTTATTTATTGTATGTATGTATTCTAGGCTTAATGAGGGTCCATCCGCCCTTTCAGGGAATGAGAGTACGGACCCCGGACATGTCACCATTCATGTTCTTAAATGTACTATCAACCAAAAGGTGACCTATAAATTTTGAATTCAGTAATTCACTGAATGATACTAAATATGTTTGCAAGTCGATTTTTGTGATGATACTATTTTGATGCACGGGAGGCCAATGAGACCATTATATGCATCATGGAGAAAAATGAATGATGAGCTTCACTGACCGATAAGATTATGCAACTCAGACTAATACCTGATGTTTTATTTATTAGGCTTCAGTCTGCCTTTTATAAGACTTCAGTCTGCCTTTAGGTTACCTACTTTTAGCATTGTTATTAATCTTTCTTCTGTAAAAAGGCTCAAGTTATCATCTTGGGGCAGTAATTTTTCTAGCATATGGTTGATTTTCTAGATTAAATGACTAGGTATCAAAGAATTCTTGTTGTGTTTGTAATGAATCACAGTTAACTAATTACTACTGCATATCAATTATAACATTTTGATTTTACCACGTGACCAGTCAATCAATATATTTCCGTATCGGGCGCAATAGTATTAAAGATATTTTTATTTTATTATTATTATTATTATTATTATTATTATTATTATTATTAAATGTATTGTTTATTATTATTATTATTATTATTATTATTATTATTATTATTATTATTATTGTTGTTGTTGTTGTCCGTACTAATCATTGATAAAATTCGTTGACGTCGTCAAAATTATCCGAATCAATTATTATATGAATGATGATCAATGGTGCAATTTAATTAAACAATATGTTAATCCATCCAAATAAAACAAAATGCATAGTATACGCAATAAAAACGTAATTATTGTATTTAAGAATTGTTTTAAGTTGTTTTTGTGTGTTTAATATATCGTTAAGAAGTCCGCAACTAAAATTAAGATATGTTATATATGTTTTGTACGATGGTATATCATCAAATCTTCGTTACCACCGTAAATTTTAGTAATATTTGAGGTGTGCAATACAGTATTATATTTGGACTCATACAATAATAAATAATATGGTTTCTCCAGCTGTGTACTCGTTCAAATATATTATTCCCGTATTGTACAGCTTCATAGAACATATCCGGGAAAAGAAGGTAATTTAAAAACATTCTTTACTGATTAATCACTAAAAATTTTAAAAATTGGCCCAATGAAAAAAGACTTAAACATTTTTAAGTAAAAAAAAAGGGGGACAAAAATAATAATTACTTGGGGAAAACATTAAAAAAAGGCAAAGGGCCCTGCTATAGTTCCCATTTGGGAAACAATTTTCTTGGTAAACATGTATTTGATATGAGACATTTCAGATTAGTTAAACACTGAAGAACCGCATGTATTCGAATTGATTTATAAAAATCAATTTAGGGCTATATTGGTCTGTTGATTCAGGCAATATTTAAACTATGACGTTCATATTTATGTACAAAACTTGCCCGTTTTATTAGCTAGTATTTATTGAAATAATGGGATGGCTAAGTGATTCCAATATAACTATACCAAACATCGTGATTGCTAGTTGAAAGCAAAATCGAAAGTTTATTGAAATACTGCATGTGCGCGTATTTGTAGGAAAGGCAAAGTTGAATTACTATTTCATATTGTATTACGAACAAGGGTTTCATACCATGCGCGCGCATCCTCAAAATTCTGATACCGCGAACACTTTTTGAACAAAAACGAGTCATGTACAGCAATCAGAATAGATTTGAATTTAATTTATTTTGCAAAGAAGATGTCTTTACTTCTTGTTTCAATATTCCAAATGCCTTGACACAAGTCTTCCCTTTCTTGTTAGTATTTCGCGTTGAACGCGATTTTGATTCTAGATACTGCGTACACCCGGCGTTGAAATGTTACAAAAATTGAGAAATTGTCGGTTAAACTGAAAGTTTCACACAGCTGAAAGTTATTCTATTGTACAACCTGTTTCATAAAAATATTTTCAATCTTTATTATTTTTCGAAAAATGTCTTAAAACCTACTTTTTACAGAAGAAAGACATTATGATTCTGCGTACATTCTGCGTACACATTTGACAGTTTTCGAAAGAAGAAAAATAACAATAAAAGAAGATGCGCGCGCATGGTATGACCCCCTTGATGAACGGAGGCCTATAACAAAAAGTATCTTTAACAAGAGGGTCATGATGGCCCTAAATCGCTCACCCGAGTAAGAATACTTGTTAATTTGGATTTTTTTAAAAGAAGATTTTTTAAGTTTTTACTACATGTATATACATATATGGAAAATCAATCTCCGGGCGGGACTGATTTGACCCCAGGGCTTTTATTTGAACAAACTTGTGAGACACTCAATAGAAGATGCTTCATGTTAATATCTAAGCTCTAGCTCTTATTTTTTTATAGAAGCCTTTATTTAGTTTTTACAATAAATATATAAAAGGAAAACCAATGACCCCTGGGCGGGTCAAAATTTTATTGAACAAACTTGGTAGACACCCATTAGTAGATGAATAATTTTTGATATCTAAGCGTTAGCGCTTTGTGTTTTTTTTTAAAGCAGATATTTTAAAGTTTTCAATATATACATAATTATCAGGAAATTCAATTACCCCCTGGGCCGGTAAGCTATATACGTCAAGGTGAAAAAAATATTTATCAGCATATCAGCATATATACAGTGTTTAATATATATTTCATGCATATCACGTACGTTTACTTCGTGTTTTTTTAATATATTTTAAGTGTTGCGCAATATATGTTTGTCCAGTTATCAGGACTTGAAACATCATCATGATCATCATTATCACCAAAAAACATCATTATCATCATCATATCGATATAATTAAAGGCATCCTTGTCTTGTATTAAGGCTCTCTTTTAAAACAGCAAATTAATTCCACGTGGAATTCTAAGGTCCGGATTCGTATCGGTTTGACACTTGACTGTGAACGAGACTGTCCGAGGTTACCGAGACATTCCTTCATCTAGTATAATTAGCATTAGAAAGATGTCTTTGCACAAAATCATACTCTTTGGTATCAGCTAACATCATAAATGTACTACAATATTTCATCTATTGATTATATACAAAAGCAATTTTAATTAAAATGAAAAAACACATGATGAATGTCGATGGCAGTATGACGACGACGAAAAGGACAAAGGAGTGTCTGTAACCATGGTAACCTTATAAATATTCATTTAATTAGCTTTTATATCTATTTATAAAAAATTGAATCATAAAATGAACGTTATAAATTCACGCGATATCTTTACACTTAATAAAACAGGGTTTTCCAAATTATTTTTGAAAGACTCTGCTTAAAATAACAGAAACTATACATGTAACTATACTTTGAACTACATAGAAATATTGCTATTTACAAATGTCATCGTACTTGACTAGTTCTTATAATACAGCACTCTTGGCAAATGTCTAAACAAGACAAATGTTTACATAGTTAACCTGTTTTATTGTTTCCATAGGATGTATGTCCCTTTGAAACTCTATTCAAAACCTTACACTCACTGTAAATTTATATAAAAATGTTCACACAGTCAGTCAGTTTATTTA